TGGTTCAGTCCGCAATTGCTTGCAAGCCTAAGACAATGACATGGTTTTCAATTTCAAGCAAACATAAATACAAAAGCAATCAAGGACACCTCATACCACTTGCGTGGTGCCAATGCACCCTCTTTTATTTTATTTTATTTTAGTTTAGTTTATGCACACGATATTTTAAACTATTATAAATTGATCTAATTTAGAAATAGAGAAACTCAATTCTAGATTTAATGTGATAATTCGTTGTCCTGGTCAACTAACCTAACTTTGTCCGTAATGAACCCTCTTTTATATGTTGGGAGGAGAAACACAACCCAAAAACAATAAAATTATATCGAATAAACTAATAAGCCAGATGATTAGTTGTCCCTTTTTATTTGGTAATTAATTAACAAAGATAGACATTTTATATTATTTGGAAATTAATTAAGATAGAGCTGTTTCCGGTGATATTGACCAAAATCTTCTCTGGCAGTGGCAGGTCAGTTAAGCGTTTTCAAGATTTCACACGTTTGTAACTCTTTTCTTGTACAACCTTATAAGTTAAGTCGAGGGTCAAAGCCGTTTGTGATATGCCAATTTCCACACTATCGTTTTTGAGTCATCTGTGGCTGTAACTTGTAGCAGCAACTGAGCAAGAAAGCAACCATGGATGCTGTGACTCAGTGGCAGAAACAGTGGTTCGACTACACTCAGTCTCTGCGCCGAGAGGTTTCTGCTTTCTTTTTCTTTTTTCCTTTCCCTTTTCTACTTTCAAGTTTCGTTAATATGATGATGATTGGGATTTCTACTGGGTTTTCTCTGTCGACCTCTGTCTGTTTATAGGGATAAAGATTTCTGGGTTTCGTTTATTTCAGCAAAAGAAACTTCATTGTTTGGAGTATGAGATTAGTTCGTGTGTAAAGTTAGGAACTTTCATATTGTTTGACGCTTTTATTGTTTCGGATTAAAAGGATAAGTTGCTTATAGAAACAAATGGATCTTTCTTCAGAACAAACTGTTATTTTGTTCAAAACTGGATTTGTTTTCTCCTTTTTGTTATTTTGAATTTTGGGTCCTTGAAGGAATTTTGATGATTGGATTTTTTTGGTGGTGAAAAGGGATTCTTGGACGATCAGTTTGCACAGCTAAAGAAGCTCCAGGATGAAAGCAGCCCAGATTTTGTGGTTGAGGTTGTTTCTCTTTTCTTTCAAGATTCTGAGAAGCTTCTCAGCAATATGGGCAGGGCTCTGTGAGTTTTTGTCTTAACCTTCAAGTGTTATTCTGGTTTGCTTCACTTTGGAGATTTTTTATTCTTATTTTTTGGCTGTAGTGGTAGCTAGGTGAAACAATTTTAATTGGATTTTCTTTGTTTTTGTAGAGAACAGAATGTTGTGAATTTCAAACAGGTAGATGCGTACGTCCATCAATTCAAGGGTAGCAGTGCCTGGTATGTCCAAGCTCTATTACTTTTTATCTTATTCTCTGTTTTCTTTCAATTCAAATGCCTGGCTTCCTGCAAGGTGCAAATGACAGTGCTTATATGGAGCATAAAAAAACTAAAAACTGGTCTGCTTGTTATTTGAAATTTGGATTACCTAGCTCGCGAGTTGTACATTAATTTTTTTTCTCATTTTCTTCTTCGTTTTGAAGTGATTAATTGATCATAGAATTCGGTGGTTTACAGGATAGGTGCATTAAGACTTAAAAATGTATGCATCAACTTCAGAAATTCTTGTGAGGCCCAGAACCTTGAAGGGTAAGAAGTTTTGCTTCATGCTGATATTTTCATTTTTTTTCTGTTTCATTGTGAGCCTGAAAATTTAGCCACTTAATACTTAAAGAAGTGGCGCCATCAGTTTAGGGAGGGTATTGACACAAATTTTTGCCACACATGCCTTGATGAATTTATTCAAGTTTGAGCAGTTTTTTTCTTTTCTTGAATATCAATATCTCCAACTGTTGGCTAAACCAAGATCGATTGATTTATGATATATATTATTTTTCAGAAGTACCATCAAATTGGAAATTAGTCAACGGGTGCTCTGCCTTTGTTAACGATGCAATTATAAAATTAGGACTAGAACTTCGGAAGTCTTTGTTATTCAATTGAAGGAAAATTGATAATCTAACTACACTAACGTTGCAATTTTGCTGAATCCGCTGTGATTGAAGTGAAGTTGGCATCATGTGTATGACTTGAATTTCTTTTGTGTTTTTACTTGACCCTAACGATGAAGAAAGCGGTTGTGGCATGGCAGTTGCACCTAAATGTGATTCAAATATTGTTTGATGCAGGTGTTTGAGATGTTTGCAACAAGTGCAACAAGAAAGCTCTGCATTGAAGAGTAAGCTTGAATACTTATTTATGGTAAGTACATGAAAATTCTATTTGAGATAGCTGGTGTTTGCCAAGATATTCTTCATTATCCAAAGGGAAATCTTGGCGTAGTCATGCTTGTGAGCTAAGGGAGATAACTTATGTTCTTACCTTGACATAAGAATCATTGCATTGCTGCCTTTGAACAATCTCAATATGGATTTTACATTAGCTTCTCTGCCTATCTCTCAATCATCCATTGACGTTGCCCCCTTTGGTTACTGTAGTTGGAGCAACAGATCGTGGCTGCCGGCGGGTCAATTCCTATTATGGAATAAATTCTTTGAAAGAATCCCCTGCTAGGAAAAACGTCGAGAAATATGGGATGTCGCATAATTTACCGGAGTTCTTTTAGTTTTAAGATTGAATTTACTTTGACTTAGTGAAAAGTTTCCTACATCCCCCCTAGCGTTTTGGTAACAATGTAGCTTAAGAACTTGCTTAGAGTATGTAAGGCTCTGTTCTGAGACTCTAAACATCATTTTATCATCATTCTTACTGAGGAAGTTGTTATTATCGAACTTGGCCAAAGCCCATATGATCCAATTTAGTGAAATGATCTCCAGCAGCCCACCATATAAGAATATTGGATCGATTTTTTTTTTTTTTTTTTCATATCAATTTTTGTTGGGGACCCTGTTGCTTCATGAGATTAAGACCTACACAAACTGCTTGGTCACATATAAAGTTAGAAGTTAAGCCAAGACGTTTTTCTACAATCAATACTTACAGGCCACCGGTTTTAGAGCATCTTTTGCCATCGTTGATGTATTTGTAGCTTGTATGAACAGAGACCAATAAACCATAAATGCTTAAAAATCTTGAGAGAGGACAAAAACCCACTATCATGTATGCATCAGAGTTTGCTATCTTGCCACACGCACGCATACGCATCTCAGCTTCTTGTGGTATTTGAAGCTAGAAAGGAGGGAAGGAAGCTCATTTTGTGTGGAAGGTGGTATAGGTGGAAGAAAGGGACCGCACAAATAAGTTTCATAAATGCGGATTCTGCTAATGTAAGGTAAAGAGTGCAATGCCCAACAGTCTATGGCATGACACGGAACCATTACCATATCCTAAACCAAAACCATGAGTGGGAATGTGTGGATGTTTTAGTTGTTGGGGTGGGTGTCATCTGCTCACAACCCAACAAAATATTACCATTGTTTTGTGGGGCTTCATCGCATATGGGGGTTTGCTAGCTTGCTGCTTATTTTTTAACGAGAAAAATTTGTGTGAAATAGGATATCATTATTGTGTTATCTCTAACCAATTATGGTATGTTATGCGTGATAAATTTTTCACGTTGCAGTCTGTAATTGATTGGAGATAGTAAACAATGTTATTCCCGTTTCATACAAGTTTTTTTTGTGTTTTTACCTACCTGCCAAAGTGTGCCAATTCATGCTTGCATGGCAATAAATACATATATATTTTGGTGTGATTTGTAATAGTTTAAAGCAAATCAAAGGTTCTAATACTTGTTTGACAGCCTTTGATGTGGAATTGTAGTGTGGTTTTCTTGGTAACTTTTTGACTTGAGCCAGAGAGGCAATTGTGATATCAAGAAAGGGCTAAGGAGGAGTGAACATCAAGTTATGTGAGATTGTGAAGTTCGTAACTTTTACCAACTTCTTTTTGGTTGCAACTTTTACCAACTTCTTTGACTCCCCCCATTGATGCTGGTTTGGTTTGGTTTGTTTTGTTTTGTTTTAGGGGGCTCACCTGTCTTTGTGTCCAAGCCATCCCAACGGAAAAGGGGAGCAAGTTTCGAGAAGTAAATGCGAACTGAAAATACAAAAGAAGCAGTCAGAATGGCCATTGGGAATTTTAATTTTGTATCATTCCTCTTGATATTGATTGAGAGGTGCATGGAAACTTCATAAAAGATTTTGGTACAATAGTAATTAAAAACAGTGGGTGTAGATCAAGTCATGAAAGCTATGGTGAATAAATTTGTTTGAGAATTGAGGCTTTTGAAGAAGTTTGGCAGGCTACATAATTACAAAAATACCACAAAATTCATAGAAAGCAAAAGTTACCCATACCATCATGTACTTGCGCATCTATAGAGACCATAATGAAATGTTCTTGCAGTGGGACTTCGGGCTTCTGTGAGCTTTTATGTACTCCAAAATTCAAAATCAAATCTTACTTACTATATGACTAAAGTTTTTCTTTCCCAAAACATTTGCTCAGTGATAAAGATATCAAAGTCATTATATATTTATGAGTGATTTTCTGGTAGTTTAACTATGAAATAAAACTTTTGATAATACGGCGTATTAGACACGAAACTTTTAATCTATAAATGAATGTTTTTAATCAGTTGAGTTATAAGTCATTATAAAAGTGAACGTGTTCTAAATATACCATTCTAATTTATAATCTAATAATAACAGAAGATTAGAAAAAGAAAAGAAAAAAACTAGCAGGAAAAGTAATAGCAAGCAAAAGTAGGAATTTATAATCTAAATATACCATTCTAATTTATAATCTAATAGCAAGCAAAAGTAAATTACGAGTAGGAATCCGAGCCATAAAAACGACAAGTAGTATCATTTCCTAAGAAGGAACCAAAGCTCGCTGGCAAATAGTTTCCACATCAGATCACAGTTTCACTAGGCCCTCTACATTCCCACGTGTTCTTGATGACGCTGCGGCAAGGTCACGTGATCACCGCATTCCATAGGTTGCCAAGCTGGTACCCGAACCTGAGGTTCCGCCTAAGCACGTAGGCTCGGACAACCGTTTGATCCCGATCCCAAGCCCCAATAAAGAAAACAAAAACAGTAAAATATTAATAATAACCACACAAAAAAAAAAGAAAAAAATGAAGAGCCTTGCAGTGCTCTGTAGTAACTAGTTGCAGAGTGAGTGATTGCGTCTTCTCTGAGAAGCCAGCACCCAAAAAATATTCAGAGAAAAAGAAAAGCTTTGAGAGAGCTCAGATTGTAGTAGAATACAATACAAGATTCAATAATTGCCTTCTTCTCCAAGCCAAAGCCAAAGCCAAAGCCATCATTTTTGCTATTTGGATGCTGAACCTCAGACTGGTCATCATCACCACCAACTCCATACTTTTCCCATTAAAGCTTTCACGCTATTTCCCACGAGAAATCTGTAGCTTCCTCTCACGAAAAAGTGTTTTCTCCAACCTCTTCTTCCCTAAAATCTCAACCTTTCTCTCTGCTATAAAACCCACAACACAAAGCCCTCTTCTTTCACTCAACCCAGTTGACTTGACCTCTAATGGCGGACAGTCAGAGGGTTAAGAGCTTTGTGTGCATTGCGTTGTTCTCTATCTGTTTGCTTCAGTGTAATCCCATCGCCTTCGCCATTCTGGACCCGGTTGATTTCTTGGCTCTGCAATCCATTCGCAAATCTCTCGATGACATGCCTGGCTCCAACTACTTCGCTTCCTGGGACTTCACTTCCGACCCTTGCAACTTCGCCGGCGTGTACTGCGATTCCGATAAGGTGATAGCTCTCAACCTCGGCGACCCCAGAGCCGGAGCTCCGGGACTAACGGGTCGGATCGACCCTGCCGTTGGCAAGCTCTCTGCACTCGCCGAGCTCTCGGTGGTTCCGGGTCGGATCTTCGGCGCTCTGCCGCAATCCATTTCGCAGTTGAAGAGCCTCCGGTTCCTCGCCGTCAGTCGCAACTTCATCTCCGGTCAGATTCCTGCGAGTCTCGGTCAGCTACGCAACCTGAGAACACTCGACCTCAGCTACAACCTGTTCGCCGGAGCAATTCCTACAGCTGTCGGAACCTTACCAGAGCTCTCCAACGTCATTCTCTGCCACAACCGCCTCTCCGGTTCGGTCCCTCCGTTTGCCTCCCAAACCTTAACCCGGCTCGACTTGAAGCACAACGACCTCTCCGGTTCGCTCGCTCCCAACTCCCTCCCTCCTTCTCTCCAATACCTGTCTCTCTCCTGGAACCGGCTAACCGGTCCGGTCGACGGCCTCCTGAACCGGCTAGGCCAGCTCAACTACCTCGACCTCAGTATGAACCAGTTTACGGGTACGATTCCGGGTCGGGTCTTCACTTACCCAATCACCAATCTCCAGCTGCAGAGAAACATGTTTTCGGGTCGGGTCCAACCGGATGGTCAGGTTTCAATATCGACCATTGATCTCAGCTACAATCGGTTATCGGGTGAAATCTCACCGTTGTTCTCGACCGTACAGAGTCTGTACCTGAATAATAACCGGTTCACGGGTCAGGTTCCGGGTAGTTTCGTGGATCGGTTACTGTCTGCGAATATACAGATACTGTATCTGCAGCACAATTTTCTTACTGGGATTCAGATTAATCCGACGGCTGAGATTCCAGTGAGCAGCTCGCTGTGTCTGCAGTATAATTGCATGGTCCCGCCCCTACAGACGCCGTGCCCATTGAAGGCTGGAAAGCAGAAGACTAGGCCGACTGCGCAGTGCAACGAGTGGAGGGGGTAAAGTGGGAAATTCGGATGGGCGTTAATATTTTTGTTCTTATTAAAATTTAATATATTCTATATTTTGTGGGCGGGCGGTGGGTTCCTTTAGATTCATTTATTTATTTTTGGGGAAAATAGTAGAAAATGATGAATAAGAATTAAAAGAAGATTTGTGGATACTCAGAAATTAATAGTGTAACTATGTAGGCGAAATTAATGCTCTACTCTATTATTAAATATGAAGAATTTTTTCCAAGACTCTGTGAATGTATTTTATGGTATATTATTATTGTGATAATTAATTAGTCTACAAATGATTAATCTAATCTACGAGGAGGGAGATTCGAACTTGGATGTAAGGTGACATATGCTGGGTTTTGCTTTAGTTGGTGTTAGGCATTATTGTCTTTAGAATTCATGAACTGATGAGAACAAAAAAAATTTGATTTAGGGGATGAAAAGAGGAGTGAATCCAATCCAACCCTCATGTATATGTCTGTCAACCATGGACATTGAGGGTTATCTCTTTTGAAGAAGTTGTCGGGTTTGAAGCTAAAACAAGTTTTTCTGCCAAAAAAACAGCAGAATTTCATCTGTGTTGATGAGAGCAGCAGCAGCTTCTGAGTTCTTCCGAGTCGTGATGTGTCTCATTCAAGAAGAGCATGCACACCATTTTCTTGATTTGCTTTTCGTTATTTTTGATAGAAAGATGAAGAAGGACCGCAAGTGCCAATGCAGGTCGCTCTGCTTTTCGGCTTTTGCTATGCACGGGCTTCTTCTCCCCAAAATTAGCCATCATTGGAGCCATTACAAGGCTAGTTGAGTGAAATGTGAAGCAACATTATTCAATATCATAACTTGCATATATGCGATTAGATAACATAAAATATAACTCAAAGTTGGGTTCCTTTTTAACTTTTTGGATGGTGGGTTGTGGTTGGCTGGCTGGCTGGTACATATATTTACCTGTAAAAACTTAACCACACCATCAACTCAATATGTTCCCTTTGTTATGCAATGTGCAAACTGCAAAGCCATTGAAGAAGAGGACATGTGAAGGTAGCTGGGATTAGGTGGGGGTTAGAGATGACAGCACATGAACAAAGCTAGCAGTCAGCACAAGTGTCAATCTATGACACACTTTAACAAACAAAAAAGAAAAAGAAATTGAAGCAATTGACTCATTTGTTGTCTCTTCTTCTTGTTTGGCTTCTGCCAAAAGGTTTGAAAGGCATTTCCCTTGAATTGAATATTATTATTATTATGAGCTCTTTTGGCACAAGTAGTCAAACCCAATTTTTTAAATCTCTACCCTAAATCTAATGTAGGGCAGGGATATATATTCTTTGTGTCCGCAGTGTCTACTGTCTGGGTTTAGAAAATTACTGGAACATGAAATTTGTGTTGTGAGAAAGAAAATAAAAAACATGCTTTTGGATTGGTAATTGGATTCTGTGAAGCTTGGGCAGGAAGGCAATCTCTGCTAATCTTGTATAACAAGAATCTACTGCCTACCTACCAAATGATCTTCTGTTAAGCTTGTATAACAATACATTTCTTCCTCTCTCTTTTTTTCTTTTCTTTTGGGAGGGGAGGGGATAGATCATAGGGGGTTACAAAAATAATATTGCAATAAAGTGGGGCCAGGCCTTTTAACATTTGTTCATAATTGTAATGGTTCTGCATCATTAACTAATTATATTAATTAATTGTCTTTTCCAAGAAGGTTTCCTCATTGATTATGTTATTATTCAATTGCAGTGCCTGCTTTAAAGAAAATTTTATCAATCACCTAAGTAGGGGCCCCTTCTTGTTTACGTCACCTCCCCTCAAATTGAATCATGGGGTGGGGGGTAGACAGAATGATTGGGGTATTCCTGTGCTAATTTTCTCTTTGGCCCCTTAACAATTTCTGTGTTATTAATAAGCTTTTTTTCTTTTTCCAATCCATTTCACTGTTTTCAACTATGAAATTTACTTGGTTTTATTTCCTTCCCGTTACTGTTTTTCCTGTTTTTCATTTGCATTCGCATATATTCTTTTTGAAATGGCTTATACATACTGAGTAAAAGTAGCAAAATAACAAGAACAGGTACACAAATAGGATGTTTTGCAAGATCAAAATTAACACATACTTGGTAATTTATTTACAACTGAATTTCATGCATATGCTTATTACAAAAGAAGGGGCGGGGCTTATTTCATTGGTGTTGGTACAGCCTGAGCTATCATCATACATTCGCCAGATTATTGTGTCCTGAACAAAACTGTCTTGACTGCAATATCACTTGTGAGTTCAAGAAAAATGTCTCCTCCAGATGCTGTTTCTGCTGAAAGGTGCTGGTGCAGGTGCTAATGCTTCTCCATTCCCTGGGAACTCCCATCTAACAACAGCCCCATCCCAAGAAGAGCTTACGAGCATTGGGTAATAGGGGTGCCAACTACAATCTCTTACAGGTGCTTTATGATACTTGAGTGTCGCGACTCGGGCTCCACTTACCTACATAGAGTTAACCAAGAAAATTACCATAAGTTAAGTCATGAAATCCTCAAGGGCTGGGGGGGCAAAGAAAAAGCAAGCATTCCAGAGTGGCGCAAGCCACAGACTTGGCACTTGAGCATCGACATCAGCACACTGGATTGGTGGTAGGATTGGGAAAAACCTAACATGAATAAGTTGCAGTTTTTATCCAAAAGTCTCATGAACTGGTGAGTGTTAATCTCCTTTCATTTGAAGTCTAGATAAGTAAGAGTATCCTGATCCATTAACTCAGGTATGAAACCAGATGGAACAAAAAAAACAAAAAAAAAACAAAAAAAGTGCAGCTCTAAATAACTAATACTTGTACCACATACCAAATCGTATATATAAACGCCAGAATCATGCGATCCAGTGTAGATGTACTTTTGACCAGTGCTGCAAATTTCATGAAGATCAAGTATGTTAAAAGTCTTGAATATTTACAGCACTGTTGACAGGGTAAACAACTTGCAACAAGTAACTACTTTAAAAGCTCAAGTTTGATTGACTCGAAATCTGTTGAATATTACTCATTCAGAATTGTACCTATTGCATTAATGCAAAAGTAGGTTAAATTTCAAGATCACCAAGCACATTTGAACAAAGAAACTTGACGGTGATATGAAACCAGCTTCTGGACTTCTAGAGAAGTATGAATAAAAAGATTGTGATCAGTGCTTACCTATATGCAGGGGAAAAGTAGCAGCGAATAAGCGTACGCAAGACTGAATGACCTCTATATGTAGCTATTGATTGATCAGATGGATGTTTGATATCTTTTGCCTGGGGTGGGTAGTCCATCCATCTGTAATCCCATTCAGAACTCCTATGCCCTGGAATGCTGGAATAAATTGAAGGATTGTTACTTTCTTGCAACAGTGATTAATTTTGGAAACCATAACTGGAAATTGCAAGAGACCAAACTTTCCTGCAGACCCAGCAAACAAATTCGCAATGATATAACTTAGCCCTTCCACAACCATGCTGATCTTGATTTAAGAAGTGAAAAAATATCATATCGGTGTTTATATAACAGAATTAATAAGATAGCGTTCACACAGATAGATAATAAAATTTCACGACCATGATCAACTACTGGACACATAAAATAAAAGGAAAAACTTATACATGTATGATTACAAGAGCACCGTGAGAAGACATACCAGGTGGCCTTAGAAGTCATTCTCCTGATATCCCAAAGTTTAATGGCCTGATCTTTACCATTTGAAATGAAATAACGACCATCTCCCTTGCTGTCAATGAATGTAATACCTTCTAGGTGTCCCGTCAAGACTCCCGCTGGCCTCCCCGTAGCTTTAAAACAACGTCTGTCCCAGACCTACACAAAGCTATACCTTATATGAGTTTTCTCATTCATCTCAGGTAAGTCAAATAATAATGACTTCCTTAAAACTTCTCTATAACTACAACTTTGGGAATTCTAAAGTGTGAATTCTGTGAAATACACATAACGTCCACCAAGATGTATTTATGTACAAGGGAAACTCAAAATTAGAAGTACTTCAATGGAGTGCCAGCATGAGGACATCAAATTTACCTTACAGAGAGTATCATCACTTCCAGAATAAATAAGATGCCCACTTTCATCGGCAAAACATACGGTGTTCACATCAGACTGCAAAAAAAACCAATCAAATTTACGACCCCTAAGATCCCATCAAAGAGCAGTCACCACATTACATTTCAGTGTTCCTCAATATGAGGACAAAAAAACTCCAAGAAAATACTAGAAGGTAAAGAAGAAAAAAAGACATTTGGTGATTGATTAGTGTGGGTGGTTGAAAGGGCTGAGGCACCCAGCCCCACTTCCTCAGCGGAGTCAAGGACTAGAGAACAATAAGTAAAATACAATCAAGAACAAGAAGATAGAATCATTGAGGCGTTCAGAAATGCTTATACCGTGTGTGCCAAAATTCGAAGGGAGGGTTTATTGGCTTCAAGATCATAAACATATATGGAGTCATCACTACTTCCAGCAACAAGTTCGTGTCCATCTGTCGAGAATTTTATGGAGAAAATACCAAACGAGTACCCTCCATCATCACCAGAGGAAAAATCCAAACCTTCATGGATCTCCTGCATAAGAAATCATTCTCTGAATGTTTTTTTATAAAAAGAATACTGTGAATGTCAAGCAAATCTATTATAGAAGGGAAAATAAATCCTGGTTTCAGAAGAAATCTTATACCCGCAATTCACCATTTTTGTACCCCCTAAAGAAAGATGCAATCAAGTAATAGCATATAAAGCAATGATGACAGATATTTGTCTCAGCGAGTTCAGATGATATTCACCGTTGACATCTTTTCTTTCCCACATTCTCAAGGCCATGGTAATTGTGCTAAAAAAGAACAATATTATTCTATTTAATCAGTCATGTGTTTCTTTTTCTCCAATCTGAAATAACATGAGAATTGTCCAATCAATGTGACTGAGTGATAGCTGTAGTACGGTTTTGACAGGGAGCATGTACAAGGACCAAATATTTTCGATCAATACAGATAAGCCTAGGATCTTAGAATACATCAGCAAGGATCTAAAACACTCACCATTACTTTTCTTTTTTTAGTTTCAAATAATTAGAATCTTCCATGAGAAGATGAGCAAAATGTTGAAAAATAGAATATCTAGGAAAACTAATTTAAGAGAGTACAGTTAGCCCAGGATAATGATGACAAACTATGCTGGTAAGCGTAAAATGTGTTTTTATTTTGCAGTATGCACGAGCTCTTCCCAAAAAAATTACAACACCCATTCAAACTGAAGTGTTGGGAACAATTGTACTTCATACCGTTACATTTGCAAGAGACTCTGTTTGAGATGATCCCACATTAACCATATGAACAATAGGTGACATACTCGCATAAACCTGAAATATCAGAATACAACGTAAAAATAAAGATAAAATTATTGAGAGACATTGCTATGTGTACCCCTGGCCGTTGTGAAATTTTTTTCATTGATTCCAATTTCTATATATTTAGTGTTTGATAAGTCCATGTAGTAGTTTGAAATCCTTCCCCTTATTTCATTTATCATGATTTCTTGTTTCATTATGTAAGGGCAAAGATACCATTTTACATGAAATTAAGATTAAGAATATACAGGGCCTCACAAGATGGTGTTGATCTGGGGAAAGAGACGTATCAGTGACGGTCCATCGCATAGTTTTCGCATGAATGTTCTTCTGTATTTTCCACCCTTTATCCACATTGTATATTCTAATCTGGCTATCCTGCAACCAACATGTGTGCAACAACTAAAAGTCAAGCAAGCCTATAGCATCACTAACAAGTAGCAACCACGGCATTAGAGATTTATGTAATCTTAAGTCCCTTTTTTTCTGCTTTGGAACTGAAGAAACAGCACAAATATCTGAAAACATTGGGTTTTATGAGCAAACAGATGAACTCAACAAAAAATAGCGGTCAGGATGGTCATCTTATTCCAAATTTGCCAAATTTAGTTTCAAGTGCAGTCTGTAAACATGTTACCTGAAACGCAGCAATAAAAAGAGATCCATCTGCTGAAAACTGTGAGACATATGCCCGGCTGGCCATGTGGTCAACAAGCCCAGGACCCTTCACTGGCAAATATCTACTTAGAACATGACAACGATCTGCAGAAGAGAACCTTCCCCTTCCCGAATAATTACCTTCTCGACCAGCCAGCATCTTGACCACGGAAACGGGCAGGTCCCGCTTCCCCGGTCCAATTTGGGTGAGCCGCTCATGGGGTGCTGACCTTAACTTTGTGAGTTGGGCCACTTCATGCTCTAGATTATGCAAGAGTTTGCCGGATGTTTGACTGCTACCAACTTCATCAAAATGGTCAGATTCTAGGGTCAATCTACTCAGTGAATAGCCCATCTCATCAAATTCATCAAACTGCAGCCGCAGCGGCAGTGATATGTATCTGAGTTTAAGCCCAGAAGCAATATGATTTTGCACAACACATTTAAAGGACTAACAATGTAGCCGAACCTTGAAAACACTTAAAAAAGCATCCCAATCACGCCAATCCTACAAGTATAAGCCATAGAAAAACACCAAAAGAAATATAAGGACAACCAACCAAGTAGCTAATCTTGTTCCTATTTCATCAGCACACACCTCAAGCTACTTCCTTTCTTGGGAAATTTTACAAATACGACAACAAGCTTCCAACCCAACAACCTAAACCTTGTGAACACCGTTACCCTCATCTGCAAATTGAATTATATATCCTTTCATAGTAAGCCATAACCAGTGCAGAGGTAAATTTCTTGACGAACCATTTACCAGTTAGACTAATCTGTTTAGAACAATTTAAGAAAGTCCATGAATGAAAGAAATTCAATTAACGGCGTCGGCGACAAAGAAGAGAGAGACTCACCGGTTGTAAAGAAAGGGAGTTGAATTGGAGGCGGCTTTCTTTAACTGTGCATGTGTACATCGACATGGATAATAAATAAATATTGAGACTTCTTGTTGTTGATTAATGCCAACGCCAAGCTTTGAAATTTGTAAAGCAAGCAGCTTCAGCTTCGGCTTCGATGAGAGTGACTGTAGGCTTCACTGCCTCACTTTTGGGGGGTTTAATTTTTAGCAATAAATCCTCACTTTTGTGTTATTTTTTTTCTCTTTCGTTTCCTCCTTTCTTGTGGCCGCCATGACATCATATGTTTTGGTTTACCCCTGCAATAATTTCTTTTATTCCCATTTTTCTATGGTTTAAATAGGAACTATGATCAATGTACGTGTTGCACTATTTGATTGGCAAATGTGTCATGTAATGAGCTACGATGAGCTTTCAAGTAGTAAATTAGGTTCAACGAATATGACATTTTTAGGTGATTGTATTGAGTACGATATGGTAATGTAAACGAACTTGTTTTATAAGTGCATGCATGATACACTACACAGACTTTTTTTGAAGTTGGAGGAGTCTAATTTTCCAACATTGTTCGATTTCGATTCCTCTCTTCTCAATATCGTTTGATAAGGAAAAAAAAAACCCCAAAAAACCAAAGCTTTTGTTTTTTTTTTGTTTTGGTCAATAAAACCAAAGCTTTTATGTTAGGAAAAAGCCACCCACATGTGACCCAACCGAACCTAATAGTTTGTGGGCTGAATGGGTTTGAGATCGGAAGGTTGGTTTGGAGCCTTGCTTTGGGCTTATAAAAAAAAAAAACAACTCATACTGGGCCTGCCTCGATGGGTCCAGTACCAACCCACATTATGTGAGCCATATGGGCTGAAATCCATACCTATTTAGCCCAACCCAACCAACTTTTCTATCTCCTTTTTCCTCATTTTCTTATGTGATAGTAAAACTAAATCCCAAACATTGATGTTGGACCATTGGCCGCCGGGTAGTCTATCGACAGGCAGAGAGAAAAACCCTGGTAAAACCCAGAAGATGCACACAACGGTCACCACTAACACCAAGCAATGAAGCGAGTTTGGAAGCTATCAGACGCCGCCCAATCAGAGCTTCTCTGCCGCTACAGATGCTCTTCCAAAACCGAAGCCCTACCTCCTTACAATCTCACCCTCACCAACTCCCCTAATTACAGATTCACCCGCGATGTCACTGCCCAGAACCATTCATCTTCCTCTCCATCTTCATCTTCCCCCACCTCCTTCTCAAGCATCATCGGTTTGTTCAGCGACAAGCCCTCGCCCCAAGACCTGAGGGCCAGAGAGGATCTGGTGCACAAGGTCACGCAGTTGAGGGACGAACTGGTTCAGAATATTGGGGACTGTGACGAGTTTGTTAGGGTTTTGGAAGAGAAGGGCTCTTCTTTCTTTTCGAGCTATGGGAATGGATACGCTGTCGTTGAGCTTATGAACCAGTTACGTTCGTGGCCCCATTTAGCCGTGGAGGTAATTTCCCTCATAAAGTTTGAGACTTCAAACTAAAAGGTCAAAGCTTTTCGGTTTTAGCGTGGTATATGTGATATATGTAATCCCAGTGGGTTGTTTGATGCGCATTTAGTATAAGTTTTTGCTTATTTTACTAATTATGCAGCATAAGAATCAGCTGAAATGCCATTGTGCATTTGGTAATTGTGTATCTATATGGGTCCAATTGCTTTTCAAAAAGATTGCTTGGGTTTTAGGCATGCTAGGAGTTTTTGACGGATAGCATATCTCATTTTCAGTTCTCTGTTCAGAATATGCACTGCTATTGCACTAACATGGAAACAGATTTTGTAAAATTTAATCACAGCAGAAGTTTCTACCGCTGGTTTATCCCGCTTAGGGCTCTTTCGAAGTCTATATGCATGGTGAATTGTTCTGAATTTTTAAGACTATCTAAAAGACAAAACACAACGGAATTGATTTGGTCTACGTGAGATGTGCTTGCGTCTGTAGAAAATTATCACAAACCCACAACAACAGACAGATGAATAATAAATGTAGGGAATGGCTAATCTTTACTGTGCCTTACCTATGTTAATTTCAGGTAAAATCTATTGGAAATGTTGGTTTTAATTATCTATTTTCTTTTCATCTGTTTTACTTATGTTATAGGTTTTTGATTGGAGAAGAAAGCAGGTGGCTGGTGGCACTCCTATGACGCCAGAGGAGTATGCCAAGGCTATTACATTGGCAGGTAAAACCAAGAATGTTGAACTTGCTGTTGAGTTATTTACAGAGGCTGTAAACAAGCGAATCAAGACGACTTCTATTTATAATGCACTGATGAGTGCTTATATGTTCAATGGTCTTGCTGCTAAATGTCAGTCTTTGTTTCGGGACCTCAAGAGGGAACCAGATTGCAGTCCTACTATTGTAACATACAATATTCTTATTTCCGTCTTTGGTCGGTTGATGCTGGTTGATCATATGGAGGCAACTCTCCAGGGCTTAAATGATTTAAATCTCTCGCCTAATTTAAGCACATACAACAATTTGATTGCCGGATATATTACAGCTTGGATGTGGGATAGTATGGAAGAAACTTTCCAAAAGATGAAGGTGGGCCCTGTTAGTCCTGATACTAGCACCCACTTGCTTATGCTTCGAGGGTATGCTCATGCAGGTAATTTGGTAAAGATGGAGGAGACATATGAATTGGTAAAACGTCACGTTAATGACAAGGAAATCCCATTGATAAGAGCTATGATATGTGCTTATTGCAAGAGTTCTGCCAAAGACAGAGTGAAAAAGATTCACTCACTAATGAAACTTATTCCAGAAAATGAATACAGACCTTGGTTGAATGTGTTGCTGATTAGGGTTTATGCTCAAGAGGATTGGTTTGAGGCAATGGAGAAGTCAATAGATGAGGCATTTGATCACAAAATCTCTGTAACTACTACAGGTGTGATGCGATCTATAATTTCAAGTTACTTTCGATGCAATAAAGTGGACAGACTTGAAAATTTTGTGAAACGTGCGGAATGTGCAAGGTGGAGAACTTGCAGGTCCCTGTATCATTGTAAGATGGTCATGTATGCATCACAAAAGCGCTTAGAAGAAATGGAGAGTGTGCTTAATGAGATGGAGAATTTTAACCTGGGCTGTACCAAAAGAACATTTTGGATATTGTACAAAGCCTACTCAAGGTGTGGTCAAAGATATAAGGTTGCGAAAATAATAGGATTAATGTGGAAGCATGGATATGACGTTCCTTTGGATGAATTGCTGTCATGATTCTTCCTTCCACTTTGGTAGAGCATATTGGATGACAGCAATTGCATAAAGCATTCAGCCAGTCATTGTGAATGGTTCATTACATCCATAAGACGCAACAGAGGTTCCACATTATTCACAGGTACACATCTGACCTCAGAAAGTGGCTTGTTGGTATTGACTCCCTCGCCTGAATTTTTTGTTGCAAGTACATGTATATCAGTCCAGGATGATTGCCCGCCATTGCCTATTAATATAACTGATTAGAATCCTGTGGTTATATATTGTTGTCTGGCCTCCTTCTTTCTTTTCTTCCCTTTTCCAAAATGTTAGGAGACTGAGAGCCTTTCTATTTTCATCAACTGGCTGAGTGCCACCCTGGATTCACTGAAAAAGATAAATCAGCTCAACAAGGTTTTCTTTGTCAAACAGCCAACCCTGGATTCACATGATTCACATGCTTTGGGTAGACACTTGGGAAGTCTAAGTGTGAGCTGATTGCAATTGTCTGTGCTGGCCTGTCTTGATTACTAGGAGGCTTCTTCTAAGTCAGCAATTTGTACAATAAGTTAGTTGTGGTTGAATTTCATTGATAATTATGCTTCACCTTTGAGATTACTTACCGGTTCTATAATGTCACACCACTGACATTATGAAAAAAATTGTGGGCTGACCTTGGTAACCCATGTTCTGTTGATTGTTGAACAATATATACTTAAATGTGAGTGAGTGAGTGTGAGTGCATGTGTGTAGCCTTGCCAAGAGATCATTCTAGATGTAGTGTGAATAGTATAACCGCAGATGAACCTGAATGGAGTTCCTTTTTTGAGATGCCAAAAAAGGAACAAAGGACCCATTATCTCCAACACACACTGGGTAACTTTAACAAGCTTATGAATGTCATTGCTGTCGCATCCCGAATTCCTGGGATATTGAAATTATATAATTGGCCCCCATGCAACTACGTTACTGTCATTAGTCTGAATGAGAACTATTTATTTGGGTACTCTTAACCTTTTTCTGTGTATTTTATGGGTCAAGCCGAATCATGTGATTGCTCTTGAATCATGTTATTTCAGTTTTTGTCATCAGTTTATATAAGATTGGTTTCATATACACACAATTGATTGACTACGTTGGGTTGCAGAATCTGTACATTATTTCATTGACCAAGTGTACCAAACCCCGCTGAATGCCTATGGAAATCCAAGTAAGTTCCACCAAGACATCATAGATTCAAAGAGGTGCCACCGTCTGTCTTCCTGCAGAAAGTCCCGGCATTTGTGATTGAATCTGCTAATTATTATAGAAATTACATTGACAAAGAAGATCCATTTGAAGGCTGTAGATGATGTATCAAATTACATCTGAAACAAGAGCAAATAATACCTGGAAGCTGACTTCCAGATGTTGCATGTTAAATATTTTTGCTAGCAATTTAATATTTTCCTTTTGTTTTCTAGGAGGATGACCATCCAACTGCACCTTAAATGTATGTTGAAGGCATTTCTAGACTGACCTGTTTTGGTTGCTGGATCTGTTTATGAATTTTGAAAAAAGTAAACACTTGTTATTCTTCCCAAAGATTTCTTCTGTTGTTTAAATGTTTCAGCAGGCACCTCCTGTATGATACATATCTTGTCTTTAGAAAAAGGTCAGTGCTATTTGCACTTAATTCTGTGAGTGCCAAAAAATTAATAAGATTTATTCATTTTAAAGTGCAAGGATCTAAATGAGTGCTGGTAGCATTACCCTAGAAAGACTGATGAGAATAATCCTCTGCAACTTTTCTATCTACTTCTTTCTTATATCTCAAATGAAACTGTCCCATTTATTTAACCAAACAGAATAGAAGAAATAAAGTATTTTTTTTTTTTTCCCCCCCCCCCCCCCCCCCCAAAAAAAAAAAAACCCAGAATGCGTCACAAGTTCACAACATTGGGGTGCAATTGCAAATTTGCAATGCCCTTTTCTTTTGTTTTCTTTCATTGGGAAACCAAATCCAACCTTCAGGTGTGGATAAAATGACT